TTAAGTAATATTTAGCTTAAAACCAAAAAAATTATTAGTTCTTAAAAATTAATTCTTTTATAACTTATTAATTACTTAAGCTATAAATCTTAAATAAACTTTTTTCAGGAGTTTATGAGTTCTTTTATAAAATATACTAACTATAAACCTATATCTTTTATAATAATAAAGTTAATGTTAAAGTTAATTTTAATAATAAATATCTTTCGACTATTTTTTATTTTACTCTCTTAATAATGATGGCATAGCGAGATTCTTAGAGGCTGTAACTGACGTAATACGTTTGCTCCAGAGGTAGGAAAGTTGCTCTTAGTTTCCTGTATCGCGATTAAACGTTTCGATCCGTCCACTTTTTTCCGGATGTCTTTATCTATAGTTGTTCAGCAAGGGTTTTTATTGAGCTGAAAAAAATGCCAGGCCGCGCCTAAAGCGGAGACGAAAATTGTAACACTGATCTATTTTGCATTCCGCGGGCTTCCCCAATATTCTTATTCCGAAATTATTAGCTCTCAGAGACAATATGAGTTTTGGCTCCGGAAACGCTCTTCGTGATAAGCTCAAGGACTGGACAAAAAATACCCATGTTTGGACAATCAGTAGGACATCAACGATGTCATAAGTTAGATTGAAAGTCGTGACATTAAAAGGCCGATCAAAGATCTCTACTATATGACTATCACGAACAGGACTTGACTTAAGGAGTACAAATTCCTCTATCCAAAGCTTCAGTGCTTTTGCTTACATTCATCTAGATCGGTGAAGCTCCCGACAATTCGGGGTCCATTCTTTTTCACATCTCAGTACAACTATGCCGCAATCTAACACCTGGTATGCTGAGAAGGCAATAGAAAGGTGATAAAAGGAAATGTATAAGTACTTTTGGTGACTGTGTTACGACAATTTTTCAAAATCCAAAGATCTCTCAACTTCATCGGCGTCAAATGTTAAACCTACTTTCAAGGCTACCCGGTTTCAGCGGTTTAATGCACCCTACCAGCAGTCATGTCTTCGCAAACTTAAGAGCCCTTATGTTCTAACCTCAACCGGGTACCGACGTCGTGGGCTACTGTGACCAGCTTACTCCTAATCGTCCACGACATTGCTCAATGTTACCTATAATCTAAGAGTGTCGCGGAGTTTTCACCATGCTTAAGCATCAAACGCCTTATTCTCTAATTCAGTTTCTTCGCTCTCAGATACCCTCTCCGACTCCGGCAGCGTCTCAGCTCTCGCACCAAGGTAACCTTTTCCTAGCTGAATAAATAGCAGCAACGCAATAATAACCGTCGCCCCCAGCGCCGTACAAGTCCAATTCATCGTCTCAGTTGTTGGATTCGGCGCAACAGGAAACATGCCGGCTACGAGAAAGATGATAAGGAAGCAAAGCGCGAAACAATTGACGATGTTACCCGCGATCTTTCCCAGGCAAAACGTCGGGCGTTTGACAAGGTTGCCGTAGACGCTGATGGCGTTGCGGTGATAGAGACGGCAAGTGATACAGAGGATATAGGAGCTGAGGAGACCGCCGTTGCCGATGGTTTGGATGTTGAGGAAGGCGGCGTTGGAGCCGAGGGGGACAAGGGCGATGCAGCAGCCGATGAACCAGGACAGGAGTACGGCGTTGACGGGGATGTGCAGGTATGGTGAGACCTTGGGACGTGTGTGAGCAGCTGATTTAAGAACAGCTCGGAAATACGGGCTTGAGTAGGACATACATAGTTGATCCAAGGGGAAAATGGCAGGCCTCCGTCACGTGCGAATGCCCAGATCTGGCGCGACGCCGTTGTGTTCACGTTGACGGCTGTGAAAAGGAAGAAGAAAATGATTATGGCTACTAAGGCAATGGTCGGACCCCTCGATTGAGTCGCGTTCCAGATGACCTGGATGTAAGGCTGGCCGGTAGGCGTAGCAAGTACTTCCTCGACATTACCGACCACGAAAACAAATGCTAAGAGCATAACAAAGCCAAGGAAATAGTTCGTAAACGCCATGAAAAGCATGGCTTTCGGCAGCTGTCGAGATGCGTCCTTCAGCTCTTCAGCAAGATGGACAGCCGAATCAGACCCAATGACCGTGATGACGGGGCCGCTAATTGAAACGAAGCAAGCCGTTCCAATACTGCCCCAACCGGCGTTATCCTGGAAATTGGTGAAGACTTCCCTTGCAGGCGATCGATCACCCATGACGAAGAAGACAACCAGGAAGACCACGAAACCGAGAAGATAAAGAATGAATATGACGCCCTCAATGCCTGGTAGCTTCCTGGACAGGACTGTGTTGAAGAAAACGACGAAACACAGGATGGCGATGGTGAGGAGAACGATGTGCCAGCTTTTAGGGTTATAGTCGGAGTTGGCGACCTTGATAAAACCTTGGATTGACAGCGCTCCTACATTGGCAGAGCCAGCAACACCGCTTTGCCATCCGAGAGAGCATAGCCAACCTAATTTGAGCCGGCGGTCAGTGACTGATCGAATGATAGATCAAGGCCAGCGACTTACCGACCATGTAACTTAGAATCTTGCGGTATTTTGGCGGTGCGAATATAGAGACCCAGTGGTACTGCCCGCCCGTTGTCGGTTCACTGTAATGACATTATTTAGCCTTACCATGGACTCGTGAGCAAGGAGGACAATAGGTACATGGACGCCAATTCGGCCATGGAAATCACGACCGTACTCATCCCAACGCAAGTACCTAGGTAAACCCAGATAGCCCCAGCGGGGCCGCCATTCGTGAGAGAGAGTGTTCCGGTACTGTGAGTCGAGCGCCTGTCAGCAACGTTGTAACACCTAGAGTACGGCTTGGACAACGCCGCTGAAAGAGACCAACATGAGTGAGAACGGCCATGTCATGCCCAAAATCACTCCATAGCCAACCAATGTCGACACGGTGTATATTCGCTGTCAGTGGTCAGTCGAGCGTCAACCTCATCGCAAAGGCTCGAGTAAGCTTCTCGGGAAAGAACTCCCAAACTTACATTGAGCTTTTGGATCTTGCCCATACGCTTCATATCACGGTCATCAGCTGCCGTACCAGGCACTGGCGCTGGTGGCGGTCCTCTGTGCAGCCACATCGTGTATACTGTCTGTATTAATTGACCATGGGAGTTGGGAGGTAGGTACGGAGGTGTGAGGATAGAAGTCACATGGAGGGGAAGAAATGGGTGAAATACCCCGGCTTCTTGTCCCCAGTTGTTCGGCTGAACAGGGTGCACAGATCTTGGTAACTAACCTGAAACTATTCATAGTATTGGTCAGACGCCCTTATCGTCGATCTTGAAATGAGACTGTGAAAATTATTTCGTAACAGCTTTACCAACGATAGTTTTACCCTTTGAATCACAGGATCACAACCCAATACTTTATCATTGCGCCATTGTGCATTTTTCGCTTCCCCTGTAGCGGATTCCTTCCGCTTGCAGTTTGAAAATGTAGTTGATGTTGCCGACGAGTGAGTCCGGACTATGGTAACGGCCATCAATAATGTTAGCAGGGTGCTAGAAACGCTGTGTAAAGATACAGCGCCACGTATCTGCTTCTTACTGTAGTAAGAATAGAGTGCCCACAGCCGAAAAGCGCGTTGCTTTCTAATTGAGCTTAGCTCTACGCTAGATCAACCAGCAACAGAGATTTTGTCGTACTGGGTACAGTGTGTAGACGCAGGGTATTTGACCAATCAGATGCCGTACATCCTCTTCGTTAGAGCTGAATTTGCTCTTTCTCCTTTTTATGGCTATCTTGTACAAATCCTTAGTGTTGTATCCTTTGCTAGGAGCTCTGTGTGTAACATAAGAGTGATAATAACTTTCATGGATGAAAGATGTGCAATCTGAGTGGTATATTAGAAACGTAATTAATACCTGGAAACTAAAAGACTTGGTGGGACCTCAGACAGAATGGCGTATCGCTCATTACAGTGCGCTTATATCAATCTAAACCAAATCTGATTTTTCATCACTTCTGGGCGGTGTCAGAATCCCTGCGCATACGATACGTATCTGTTACGTATTAGCAGGATGATACAGGGGTCCCCGCATGCGAAACGCACGAAACGCTCTTGTAACTTTTACGCCCTGTTATTTATGGCAGTGAGCATTGCTATACGAATTGAACGCCAAATGCTGTTTCTGAGCTGTTGCAGTAATGCGCTTCTATAGCTATTAGTGTGAGCCAAATGCTCCTCTTGATAGGAGTAACTCAATCAATTCAATTGGTATCTCCGTACGCTACTTGCTACATCTTCTAACAGGCGGCACCTCGTACAGTGAGCTTTTGGTGCATTTGCCTTGTGACAAAAGTACTCCTTGGTCAGATACAATTTTCAGAGAGGAGAGAAAGCTTGTTCATTGGTCTGCTTACTTGAGATCTTCCTCCTCCTTCGTATTCTGACGCTTTGGAAGTCTCGAAGGACGCCGTGCTGAGCGGTTGGCCTGGAGGTTGAGAGATCTGATCCAGGAGCGATACAGCGCCAATCGCTAAACGTACCCTAATTGGGTGTCACTGAGAACTAGTTATGTTTTGAAACTGCCAGACAAAAGCTAGTTTACGGTCCTCTGAGGGCCGCGGTCCTTTGGTCCAACAGAAACCTAATAGCGCTGTCGATTGGGTCTTTTTAATGACGCTTGGACGATAGGTCGGAAGGGTTGTGGGGCTGTGCGGCGTGGGAGTGGGGTATGAGGCGTGGGCCGTCAGCACCGGAGACTACTACGGTACGGGGCATAATTGATCGTAGCACGGCGCTTGTAGCAACTAGTTCGGATACAGCGCCACATCATTGTCTAGAAGCTTCTTAGACGATTGTTCGTATCGATTGGCCACAGTAATATCGCTTAACTTTCCAAAGTTCAGCCGTCTCGTTTGGAGCCTGCTTTAGTGCCACAATACTAGCGCCGTGCTACAAATACTTACTACGTAGTATGCCTTGTACTGTAGTACTCTTCAATCTGCTGCTCACGAGTGCTTAAAGTTTAGTAAAATGCATCTTTTTCTCGATGTCTCGTAGCTGCCCTGATACAAAGCTGTATCGAGTACATAGTACAGTACGTACCACAGCTACAGGCCTAAATACTACGTAATATAAACTCTGTGGCCTAAACTTGTCACAAAACGCGCTCATTACATACACGCTCTTATCAATATTCCCATTACTGTTTCATTACCTGAGTGGCGCCCTACGGGCTCCACCCATCGGGCCACGGCTATATGTAAAAACCGGGGTACAGATTCAATTTAGGCTAGTCTTAAATCAGAGATTTGTGGCGTTTGTACGAGTATTGGTACAAATCCTCACGTCCGGGGTTGACCTTATCAGGCCTTTAGCCGTGATGCCGTGATACCGTAGTACTACGTAGTGAGTTAGAGCCTGAGTCTTTCTCTGACCTTTGTTCGAGCACAACTGCAACCATCAGATCTTTAGAAAGCAAAGGTGCAATGGTATCGTCAACGTCGAGCGGTCGCCTGGTCAGTCTAAGCCATGATAACCATCAACCTTGGCTTTGGTTTGTTCATGTCTTGACACTTTTTACCACCTTCTGGGCGGTTCTTGGGAGAGCCAGATGTAAGTGGACGTTCAGAGGGGAGAGTAATGTGGTCTTGTTCGTTGCACACGTATGTTCTAGGTTTTGTTGGGACCCATCCTGATCACCGACGAGACTATGCAGGCTGATTGGTGTGTTTGTAAAGCTCTTATATTTTGCCTTCTGGATGGCCCTGTTATTCGCCATAGTCAACAACACCGGGAAATCCAGTCAAATAACAAGCATATCCAAGGAGACCCGAGCGTCAAAGGTATCTTGGCGGAATCCGGACACGTTAGTACGAACAGATTCGCTAATTGCCTATGGCCTATCCTAGCTTGTGCTCTCAAGCCGCATACTTCTCGTCGTCATCTTGACGTTGGAAAAACTGTCAACATTGTTATTGATCCGGGAGATTTTTTCGATAGCGTTAACGAAGCTGTGGTCTTCCGTGATTGTCTCACTGAGTCTATGTCAACTTATCATTGGCTCACTCATTATCTCGGTCGGCTGCTCACCAGGTCGAACCATCTTTCCAGGAAATGAAGGACGCTGTCTTGGGAGGGTAAGTTGCTGATTTTCGAGCAGTGATGAAAGTTCGAAGACTTGCTGCGCGTAAGGCTTTCCCAATGGTCCGCTAACGGGTTGACAGCCCGCTCGCTGGATTGTTTTCACGGTTCTAGAGGGCCTTCTCGACGTTCTCTTGCTCGTTCCCGTGATCAGGGTCGTCTTGAGCCTGCATATGAAATTCCAGAACAAGCTCTGGGCCATGGCCGTCTTCATCACTAGATGCATGTACGTGCACAAACAGAAAAGATCCCCATTCTTGGCTTGTACCCTGCTAACTTGATCTAGGGTGTGGATCCCATCCGTTGCCCACCTCGTCTACTTCATCAGATACATCCGCCATGGCCGGGACATCATCGACATCGTCCCCACCATCGTCACCGAGGAGATCTGGGTCTGCACGGCTCTCACCCTGTCATCTGCCCCCGTCCTGATGCGCGTCACCAAGAAATTCACCACGCTGGGTGTGCAGATCGCCGAGTCGACGATCCAACAAGGATCTACTTCCAAGTCGAAGGAGAATAGCGGGCTGTTCGCGTGGAAGGGGGGTGGACTTCAAGGCCTGTCCAGCTTCAAGATGACGGACATTGCTGCGATGAGCGGATCTGATCCGTCGGGTCAGAAAATAGTACGACCGGAAAAGGATGACAGACTCAACATCATCCAAATCGACGCGAGAGTCAAGGGCGAGGGCGCGTCGACTGAGAGCGTGCCAGAGTCACAGATCGGGATTTTGAGACAAATGGATTTCGACGTTCACTCAGAGTCTAAATGAGCAGGTCTTACTTGCTTTGCGCTGCTTGGAGTCGATATCGCGGATACACCTCAACCTTTTCTGGTGGTTCATTGATGGGCGTTTCTACTTGGGTTGGTTGTCTCATCGAGATATGGATAGAGGGGTGTTCTGAACCCGACAGCATGACCGAGTGGAGACTAGAGTCTTGGCAATTGTTCGAATAATTAGTACTAACCAGTAGTAGTGAGCGTTTAATATACCGCGAAGATCTGCCTAGTAAGGCTGAATCTCAGGCTCCATGGAGTTCCTAACAGAAGGCTCCTGAACTGATCTTTTCCCTCTAGTACAAGCTACCTCGAAGCCCTTCACTAGATTTGGTGGAATGATCGTTTTCCTGAGATGCATAACATTGAAGTGAAAGAAAAGAGCAAAAAAGCGTGCTGGAAGAGCGTCGAAGCAGTCAGCATGGCGCCAAGAGCCAGATCGGAAGTCGTGGTCGATAGCATGGTGTTAACATGGTAGCATTTCTCCTTGTTTGTGGTACGTAGTACAGTATCTAATCTTTATTGTAAGAAATTAGTGGGTTTTCTATGAGCAGAAAGTATAGTTTCAATGTCGTCTGAGATCGGTTATGGAGATGGCCAAGATCTTTTCTCTTAGACAGCAAAACCGCCAACCCAACTAGGTCCTCCCTATCTTCTAGGCTTAGACTCCTGACCTCCATGGACATTTTCATCTTACAATAGTACAGTAAAATCCACAGAAAATCTACAGATAAATCTCCAAAAGGATCTAGTCATCTAGATACACGTATCATAAGCTGTGGTTCGTATGATAGCGCCAGTCTTTATGTGTTCGTCTTGATGAATTAGTTGTTAAGTCTTTGAAGTTGAGTCTTGTCTTTTGTGAAGACCCATGTGATGGCTACAGATCGAACATGGGTAGGATCGTTGACTTTTTGGATGTTGCTTTCGGCGGCGGCGGCCTGAGTGTCTTCGTTTGTAACTGTCGCCTGGATGAATGTGAGTTGAGGGTTATGGAATTACTCCTCTCTGTGGGTCAGATTCTGCGTGGTCGGAGCATACCAGATGTCCGCTTTAAATCCTCAGGGACTTGCAAGCAGCCTACCCACTCAATTCGTAGCATTCAATTTCCTCCTTTCACATTGCAGAACTATAAATACATGCTGCAATGCTCTGATGACCACCAACCTCTCTTGATCAGGTTCGACTTCAGCATAATCAGTCTATGTAAGGTACTGCAATGCTCCAAGGCGAGGCATATACTTCTGCCTCGAAAATACCACGTAAGCGCTTTTGAGACTGTGTCAAGTGTTGAATCCGTGGAGTGCACCACCAGACAACGTAGTTTTCGACCACCTTCTTTTTTCCCAAATCTGGTACCAAAACACAATTCTCCCTCGGCAGACACTCAAGAGCAAGCAGCCAGAGTATACCTGGAAGAGCATCGCCGGATCCCTGCTACTTAACACCAACATCCATGGAGGCCCATTTCTATATCATTAATTACTCATTACCGTCAATCACAATCCACATTCACGTTGGAGCGGACCGAAACCTCTTGAGATTCGACCTCATCGACGGCCTCGCCGACACCAGAGGTGAGCCCCCCAAACCCACATGTTCTTCAAAACTCAATCCGTTATGAAACACAGCCAACTCATCTCCCACCGCCAGCGCGACAGCTCCACGGTTCGTGACCAACATCAGTAAATGTCCCGTGGTGCCATGCAGCTGGAACGGGATGAAGAAATGTCTGGTGAACGATTTCTGTGCCGCATTGACGCTGTTGATGTCGATTGAGCATACCCAACCGTTGTGGTCTAGGAATATCACTTGGGTTCTGTAGATTTCGATGACAGCCTTGATGTCTTTGGCCAGCTCGTCGTAGTCGGCCAGACATTTTATTTGAGTGGTTTCTGGTGATATGGATTCGGCGGGCCATAAACGAAGAGCTGGGACGCTATTGGTGGTAACTCTGGAACCAGTCTGAAAAATGCAGAGACCTCGAGCTCGTGGTGAGAGAATAACATCGATGAGAGCAACATCTTCGGATCTTTGGAGTCCAAGACCAATGCCATTCGGTTGTGACAGCTCGCTGCCGTCATTCCAATCGAAGATCTTGACTCTATCTCCACTCACTAGGAGTAGTTTGCCAAGTTGAGTGGGATGGTTGGCCCACTTCCACGAGCCTCTCGCTACAGTGACGGTATGTGAGCGAACTAATGAGTCGTTCTCTAAACTCCAGACCTCGTCCGTCTCGGCTGTGGAGACAAGGAACCGGTTTCCATCAAGATTTATGAGGACCTGGTGCACAGGAGATGCTGACTTACGGCCCAAGATAGGATCCGCAACATCGAAATTTCTGCCAGGGTTGAAGGTGAGCTTTTGTACCAAGATATAACCCGACCGGTCTACACTTGCAAGTAAGCTTGCCGCTTCATTCCACCCCAGGAGGAGTATGCCGATGTTTTTCCTATGACTGAAGAGTTCTTGGAATGGTTGTCCTGTCTTGCTGGAATATGCCACAACGGCGCCACTTTCACGACCACAGAAGATGGTTTCCCCATCGTGATGAGCGGTGAAGACGGTTAGCGCAAGACGTTCGTCAGATGTGCGATTGTTTACGATTTCCGGACCTGAAGGGACTTGTTCACTGAAATCCAAGCTGGAATCGTCCCCGGTATCATTACGACGTACTAAAACGGAAGGTTCCCAAACAGTACAGCGGTCTCCTCGAGCGTCGTAGAACCGCAGACCTGAACTGCTGAAAACGATTTGACGAACGCTTTGTTCTACAGAAGTAACTTTATATAGCAGTCTCAAAGTCTCGAAGTCGAACAATGTAATGACTCCTGTGAAATCGGCGGTCGCAAGGATCGTTCCATCGGGTGAGGCCCCAAGAATCATAGCCCCAACGGGGCCTGTATCTCCGTGTTTACATTGTGTCCATGGGTCGAAGGTCAGAATTGAACCATCCTGATAAGCGGCAGCGACGAGACTGACATCTGGATTAGGGTTGAACACTAGGGCGACGACGGCAAGTTGAAATTCGTCAGAAGTCCTCCATAGCTGACCAACATATGAACTGTCATTCAAGCCCCAGAAGGTCACAGGCCGGGCGCGATATGCAACGGCCAATAGATTGAGTTTTGTGGAGAATACGGTCAGGTTTGGGGGCCGCCGATAACTGCTAGCGAGCTTTGCAGGCCTTTGCTTGTGGTCTTCATCCACCGGGTCATCCTCGAAGATATCCGAGAATTGAACCTTGTCGTCCACTTCACCAATGTCCACACGTAGGGAGATCATGAATTCAGTCCTAGTCGTCGTCATAAGGATTGTCCCAGCATCGTTGAACTCCATGGCCAGAAGGATGTCAGGAGCAGTGGCAGTCCACAATAGTGTGCTTGTGATGAGGTCCCACATTTTAATCTTCTTACGGCCAGCAGCAGCCAGATGGGTCCCTGAGTTTGAGAGAACTAGGTGACGCACGCCCTCGCCATGGATGAGTCGGAGCTCTTCCTGGCATGTGACTTCATGATAGACTCTGACGGATCCATCAGATAGGCCAACGGCAAAACGGTTATCGCAACAAGCCATGCAGTACGCTTGGGTTTGGGGGTATATGGTGCAACTAAGCTGGTCGTTCCAGTCCTTCTGTGACAAACCCACCAACTGTAGGCTCCGTGGGTAGTCTTTGAACGTTTTGAAAATGATGGATTCAGGAGGACAGACCGAAGGTAAAAGAAACTGGATCGGAGAAGGGTGCGTCAACAAGGGCTTCCCGAATCGTGCGACAAGGTGTATTATATCGTTGGCCCAAGCAGAGACATTGCTGACTTCCTGACCAAGGGGAGAACGATATTTCGCGCGTCGGTCAAGATATATTTTGAGGTTCTTCGCAGTCTGCGTTAAGGGACTAAGGTCCTGGGTAGCGGCGATGAACTCGATCCAGGTCAAGACATTACCTCGGAGGAACGAGTTCAAAGCGATGAAGGGGGGGTCTATAGCAGAAGAAGACCTGACAACATGTTCGGAGAATTGCTTGGCCGCATAGTCAGAAAACGCTGATCTCTTGGGGCCTCGGGAAGTCGCACTGCCTCGACGGTGTCGAGGGGTTTTCATCTCATCCCCACAGAGATACTTCACGCATACTTCTGCGAGTCTAGAGTGGGCCTGGGGTCGAACAACTGCAAAGTAGGATGATAATCCGTCTCGGACTAGGTACGCTCTGACGGTCTGATGAGCTATCTGCACCCTCTGCCTGTTATCGACGATTACCAGGTGCCCACAGATTGTGCCAGCGTCTTTCTCGATGTTATGAGGTGTTTCGTGAATATCTAGTTTTATTGCTTCTTTTAGTTCTTCCGCCAACAGGGGCCTCGCAGCACACACAACCCACCGAAGGATGGCCTTTGCGAGCTCGACGTTTCTAGGAGTAGCCAATATCCTGTCAAGAATTCGTTTATAAACGTCATCCATCTCTTCTGGGACTGACTCTAAGACCTCTAAGATTTGCTCTTCACTACTAGTTTCTTCCAATTCTCTAAGGGTTAGTGACGCCCACAGGAAATTACCGTCTGACTTCTCTAAGACCTGGTTGATTAGATCATGGCGAGCTGTCTCGGTTGCCACGGGAAGATAATGGGATCTAGCTTCCAAGAACATCTTTATATCGCCTAGGGAGTCCTCCCGCTCAATATGATCGATGGTCTTCGCGATGCGCTCCTGAGCAAACATTCTTTCCGTTGCGGTGGAGGGACGGCTAGAGATGAAAACACGTAGAGGGAATTATTTGGGGATCTTAGCGAGCAAGGGGAACAGCACACTTTGGTTGGTGCACTCATCTAGCGCGTCAATAATCCAGTAATGCGTCTGTTTCAGCGTGGTGTGGAAAATGCGGGACACGAACGTCTTCTGCCAGATGGATCGCTCGTCGGCCTTGTCAAACATTTCCCCTTCTAGATGCATTCCCAGAAGCGCCTCCCGAATGACGCTATTCACAGATGACATCTGCCAGGCTAACGAGAGCAGCATTGACGCAATCGTCGATCTCGTTGCATCACCATATTTAAAAAAGAAAAACGAGCATTCTTTATGGCGCTGTTGCAGGTAATCAATGGTATGGGCCACGATGGTGGTTTTTCCAGTTGCTGGCTCGCCATGAAGCCAGTAACATTTTGGAGCATCATCAAAATCATCCTCCCAATCTTGGAACGATTGTCTATCATGGATCCAGAGGCAGGACCCGGGGAGCTTCTTTTCGAGGACTGTCGCCAAATCGGCTTCAGGCCTATCAGCGCCCCCTAGGTACTGGGAAAGGCTTCGCATATGCGATCGTTCTTCCTCTTTCCTGACGGGAAGATGGGTGTTCTCAATGCCCTCAATGGTGGAGGCAAAGGCATTTCGCAAGGTTCGGTAGTTGTTATCGGACGGATCGTCGAATTTGCAGACATGGCGGTGGTCAGCATTTAGTAACTGGATGCGCTCCCCAGGCAAGCCAATGATTGCGGACTCCTTTTCTACAATTAGGCCGAGACTTGTAGAGAGCGTCTCAAAGAAAGACCATAGATGCACTCCTTGGTAAGCGTGCCGAAACTCATCGTTGATGATTTGGACGGCACCCGAACTCGGCATCAAATCGGCGACGTACGCTTTACCGCTATGAGCGAAAGAAAGCTTGATCAAGGTGCTGAGAAGCTGTGCGCTATCAGCGCCACGATGCGGCGTCGCCAGAAAGAACATGCTGTGAAACCGGCTAGCTAGGAGCTGGTACTGCGGGTCCTGTTTGGCAAGGAGGAACGCCTTCTTAATGACCACGCCGCCCATACTATGTCCCACCATGACTAGTGGGGTATCGCAGCCAGGCTGTTCAAGTGGGGAGAGGTATACATGTCTCCGAGCAGAGCCTGTCCAAAATCATGAATCGTGAGGACACTACCGGTTCTCTCCCCCCAGTCTGAGTTGTATCCAAAGCTATGTATGCGTACGTTCTTAAATTTGGGGTCGACAGGCAGCCATTCCTTTGGCCAGTAGTGGCCGATATTGTCTGTCTTGCTCCATGTCTTGCGGCTTCCACCACGCAGACCGTGGACAAATATGAAATCGATCAGAGGCTCGGAAGGTTCATGAAGGAGGTTGAGACCGAAGTGGCCCCGTATATCTTCGCTCGACTCATCTCCGGGTCGGCGACGATTAAGGCTGAAGCTGGAGATTCGACTCTCGAGAAAGCCAGTGCTTGAGGTCTTGGTTCGTTTGGTCGTGGACGAAGGGCTGGGCCGATGTGGAGCAGCCTAATCACAAAATGTGAGTTAGTAGTGCGTTTAATGCTCCGAGACTGGAGGGCAAGGGGAGGCCGAAGTAAGCCCAGCGTTACCGTGGCTAAGTCGCTGCCCATAATGCATCTTGAGCTCTTTCACATCCACTATTCGGCAGACACCATACGATGATGAAGTCGCGAAGGCTGACGGTCGAGACCCACCGCTTTCCTGTATGTGCAACCTGAGATCGATTTTACAATTATACAAGTAAGCCCCCAGGATGGGTTAAGCGCTGCCCAGCTAAACGTGCATAACTGTCATGCGAAATAAGCCTGGGGGTTTAAGTCTTGATGAGCTCTGAGTGGCTCTTTTGTTCATGCAATCGCTTACTAATGGTCATCTCTTGGCACGCATGGCCACGCCACCAACGCCGTCAATGTGATGATTAAAACCTGTTCTTTGACCTCTTCCGATTGGCCAAGTGGAATGGCCACCCCTTTTACGGAGTACTCGTACCACGGAGAAGCCGTCAATGGATCTACCTCACTGAACTGTTGAAAACGGTATCAACAAGACTTTGATAATAATTATAAATTTCAATGAAGTATGCAGCTGCTACGAGACTGATCCTGTTCAAAGAGCTTTGTAGCAAAGCGAAATGACACTTGGCCACAATAACTAGTTATGTGGTGTGGATCTCAACCCTGCTAGCAGCTTCGTAGGGAACAGCCCTGACCACAGCAGCCTTACTTATCACCCAGGCCCCTCGCCAGGTTCAGCCCATTGTTCAAGTTCATTTCCCTCTCCCAGCTTCTCTCTATCAGTGCTCATAATGGCCGAGGCTGAAGAGCTACGTCAATTGACGCTTGCTGCCATGGCTAAATTATCGCTCGGGTCCACGCAATCAGACGACATTGATGAGAACGTTCTCGCAGGTACGGTCATTGTGACTTAACATTCCAAATGATATCTCTAAAACACCTCTGCTTTCAATCGCCTTCACAAGAATCCTCTTACTGCTTTGTACGATAGACTGCCCTGCTTCACTCTGCCTTTTTGAAATCTGGACTTTGCGGCTGTGGCGGTACGCAGTCTTGATTGAATTGCCGAGACTGACTGGGAAGTCGCAGCACTTCCACCTGGGACTGAATTTGTCTCCATCGCACCGCACGGTGTCAGTTCATTCAACGAAACGTGGCGCATTGAGACGACGCTTGATGGCGTAGAGAAACTGTACTTCATGAAGGTACGCGGTACATCCGCCATCGCTCTCAATGTCTCAAGCTCTTTTCCTCCTAGTCCCACAAGGGCGACTTAGGCCGCAGATCTCTACAGGGCTCCTTCGAGTCCGAAAAGCTCTTTTGCGAATATGAGCCGGAGCACGTCCCTCGACCAATCGCCTTTGGGAACTACAAAAGTGATCCTGATACTTGGTTCTTCTTAGCTGCATTCCATGATATGGTTGAGGAGCTGCCCGAAGTCGACAAGCTTGTGTCCATTGTCGCAGATTACCACCGGAAAAGCTTTGCAAAGTCACCTGGCGGCAAATGGGGCTTTCATATGGAAACCGGATTGCCATTTGTCCAACACGATAACGAGTATCAGGATACTTGGGAAGCCCTATTCACGAACATATGAAGAAAATGATCGATGAGGAAGAGATAGTCCATGGGCAGGCCGACGAGTTGGACGAATTGAAGAAGGACCTTTTTGAAAAAGTGATGCCGCGACTGCTACGACCAATGGAGACTGGGGGCCGCTCCATTAAGCCGTGCTTGATTCACACCGACCTATGGCCCGGCAATATACTCCCAGACGTGGATACGGACAGACTGATGCTGTATGATTCCCGTGCTATGTGGGGTCATAACGAATGCGACTTGGGTACATGGAGGGCCGCCCGATTCCGCTTGGGCACGCCATATGTAACCGAGTACCAAAGGAAAATGAGCATGTCAGAGCCACAGGAAGACTGGTCGGATCGACACGCACTTTATGCGCTGTAAGTCATACCTATAACTTTATACATTCACGACCCATTCCAAGTCCATCCATGCTGCGCTCACTTTCAGAGCATTGATGGACTTCCTCAAGCTATGGGCTGGGATCAGATTGATCTCATAACTTCTGCAGGAGATACAAAATTCTTAATGCTGTCCTTTTCCCCGGCGAGGAGAGACTTCGAAGGGTGTAAGTGTAATCAGCCAACATGAGACATTATGCTTAGACTCTGTAGCTTCATGGATGAGATGCGGCGTCTGATTCAGAAGTATCCTAACGGGCTGGATGACTTCCAGGAAGAGAGCGATATGAAAGTGAGGAAGTCAGCAACAGCTATCGTGCCTCGCCAAGCTGCTCTTCAGGAGTCGACTGGCAACGTCCAGTGATTTACATTCGCCACGTAACGTATCATACCAATTGTAGATACCTGCTTACGATTTTGGAATCTGTTTTCTAATGGCTATGTAGTGCCGCAGTATATACTGATGCCCAGTACGGAGATCATGCCAAGCCCAAGACCCTTCAGAGATTGCTTCTTCACAGTTCGAGGTTGTGATGGCAGCAATCTTGGTGAACTTCTATATGCACCCCCATTTGGAATTCTCTGACGCTCGGAAGTCACTTCGACTCCCGAATTTCAAAAATATTCAACTGCTTCATTTCGATCATGAAACCGATTGTGGACAAGAACGTCAGTTGCATCACATCTCAGCTCTTTGCACGAATAGAAAACCTGTATCTAATGGAATTGCAAATGTTGTCTGACACTGAAAGTTTCCTTGATCTGCTATATCCAAAATTTGTTAAAAGGTTTCAACCTGAGTGAGTTTTCTTTTCAACGCGGAATCAACCGCAATGTCTGATCAAATCATAAATTATTTGTGAATGTTTGAGAGATATCGATGAGCGCTTTTCTTTGACACCTCAAAAATTCCAGATCACAGTCGGTTGCAGAAGTTGAAGCTTTGAAATCTGGGGGTGAAGGGGTTTTCGAACGTCGAGGACCGTATCATGTTGGCAAGCCAAGGGTCTGATGCCGAAAAGGATGCTGTTTCTCCCGGATTTGGTGAGGAATCCAAAGGTATCCAGAATGAAACCCCAATAAATGGACCTGCTGAAGGCGAAGAAGAAACTCCGACCTATTCGACCTTTACTCCGGCAGAGAGTTATCTTTTATAAAGACTCTAAAACTAAGCTACTAAATCATCTTTCTAATGTGTCCACACCGCTAAGCTCGATCAATTGGCTGCAAAGTAAAGTAAGTTTAAAAATGCGGCCCGAAGGATCAGCGTTACAATTGGTCATTGCCCCCCTCTTCTTACCTTCTTGAGATTAGTTAGCAAATAAGCAGTGCTTTAGTGGGCCAAGGCTGCAGAATCTTGCCAAGCCGTACCGTATCAAAATCAGAATGCACATACAGAATGCGCAAACAGAACGCGCAGAAAGAGGCCACAGAATTGGCACGCAGAATACACAGAAAGAGGGCATAGAAATACGCAGAAAGAGAGCACAAAAACGCGCAGAAAGAGGGCACAAAAATGCGCAGAAAAATGGCACAGAATTCGCAGTAGAAACGCACAGAAGTTCTTCTATTCTCCTATCCTCCTATCCTCCTATCCTCCTATCCTCCTATCCTTCCATTCTTCTATTCCTTTTTTTATTTGAAAAAAGTGACATCTAGTTTTTATATAAAATTAATCAAAATTTTGAAAAGACAACAGCTATAAGCAAAACATAATTACTAATAATAGCAAGGGTTTAAAAGCGAGACTGAATATACGTGAAGTCAGACTGAGTCTCCTGAGCAGCACTGGGACAAAAGATAAGTAAGAGGGTGAGCAGCGGGAGCAGTGGCGGTGCAGCCTAAGTAGAGGCTGAGCCGGAGTCGAGCCGGGTAAGTAAGGCGGGAAAAACGGCCAACCCAACTGGGTGCTAAGGCGCGGTCAAGATTCGGTGCAGGATACCATTGTATTCACACCCAAATCTTGACTGGGCACACGTGACTGCAACCCTGAGCAATGAATAAGCAGCCCTGGGCTGTGGCTGAGCAAGACTGTTCCGAGCCTGAGCCAACCTACCCTGAGGTCCCCATGGAGCCCAGAATCTGGGCCTCCGGGCTTCGCCCCTTTCCCAGCTCGGAGAGTCCAGTTTCGTGCCCTACAGGTTGTTGTTAGGTGCCAGTTTCTGGCCCCTATCACTCGCGTATACGGAGTACTTGCCCTCCAGTCTGTCTCAGCCAAGGTTGCCGTTTCTTCCATCGCTCTCTACGTAGTAAGATCTTTTCTATGCCCAATCCAGCGCCTCAAGGTGCCATCATTGTTATCAACTGCATACCATTATCACCAGCACCGGTATAACTCTACTATTCCTCCTCGCCAGCAATTCCGTCTACGTCTACGCCTATCATCCTCGTCCTCGGTGAGGACTTCTCCATCGACCTATTATTCTTCAGGCCAAGTTGAGTCGCCCTGCAAAGCCGCAATTAGACAAGGCCGACAAGGACCGAACCTCTGGTTGAGCCACATGAGAGGCAAGGCTGGCGACGAACCCTGCAGGTACTCTGTTTGAGTTCTGGGCAAAACACAATATCATAGTACTGCGTATGGCTTTGACTCTGTCCACCACCCATCATTACGTGTACGCATATAGAACTACTCGCATATAAATGAGATTTACCGCTTTTCACTCTGGTTGGCATGCATTCATCTTCCCTCACACCACTTCAACTACCCTCGCCTACACCCTCAATACTACTTTCTCTTTCGTCAAGCATTATCAAGATCAACAGAGATCTTCCCGTCAATCCTACAATAAAAGAACATCAATATTAGCAATGGCCGGTCCTCACATCTCCTTCACATGGCCTGGCTTAGTCCTCATGCTGGCCTTGCTCTTCCTCTCCCTCACTACCACCCCAACTCACGGCCTCCCCATCTCCTCCGAAATTAGCACCTCCCCCTCTCACCTCCTCACCGCGAGATTCACTCTCCCTCCTACTATTGTCAACCCCAAGCCCCCTAAACCCGGCCGTCCCGGCAGAGACCCTCCTGAATTACCGGAGAACCCAAATAATCCCGAAAATGAACCCCACAAGCCGAATCCCGGGGGCGAGGGTGGAAACGGGAGTGGGGATCGTCCCGACCCAAAGAGTGGTGAGGAAAGGGGGATGTTTAAGGATCGCAGAGGACAGTGCTGTTCCAAGAAAAATAGGAAGGAGACGGACTTATGTCCATAATCATACACCAAATTGGAGATAATTTTCTGGAAGAGGGAATGGGACGAGGACATTAAGCAAAATATATCCTGACTCAGGCGGGCTGTTCTGGGAATTGGTCGCTCGAGACGTATGTGGGAAGTCCGGAAGCTTGATTTCCTTTTCAGTCGGCAGCGCGGTCTTGTTTCCAACAGGAATATAATATTAATATATAATAAAAAGGTTTTATGACTAACTCCTCTCGTCCGGGTTTCAGTGTTTTCACGAGAGACATCGTGTGAGGCTTGTAATTTGTCTTAGCGTTAGAGTTCGAGAATGTGGAAACGGGGCAGCATTTTTCTTTCATCTGGAAGAGGATGCCGTCGAAGCAGAGGGCTAGGCTTCACCACCAGGAGGCGGTGAGGTTTGTGGGGGTAGGTCGAGAGGCGATGAAATCCAGGGGCGTCAGCTTGTACAGATCGCGGGCTTGGTTTCCAGCTCTGACGAGGATCTCGGCAAGAGGGGTACCTGTTTGTAAGATGATTGGAGTTTGTACGTCCAGCAGTTTGTGGTTCCAGAAATAGAGAGTAAACAGAGTACAAAAGATCATGGTGATTGTCAGGAGTTCCAGCGTCGATAAGGCCAATTGTTGGATAGCGCGGCCGACACATTGAATACTGAACCAATTGATTTGGATCAGCGTTATTGCACACGTGAACCTGTCAGCCTTATTCTTGTCCCAGATGGTGTCTCCTTCCACATTGAGGTACGATATGTAATTGTTTTCAATGAGATATATAAGCTGTTGGCCGTCTACCGGGAAAGGTGGAAAGACTGGAGATTGAAGCAGAAATCCGCCCATATCTGCGAAGAAAGCATGTCGCATAGTCCATTGTACGGGGCCCTTGTTTGTGAGTTTGGCAAAGTCCTCCACGCATTGGGAAGCAGACTCTCATTGATCGTAAGCGACTCCCACCGTTACGTCGGGCCAGAAGAGAGTGAAGAGCATCCAGCGCAGTTTATCCTTCGCAAATGCGACACGGCCTTTTCCAGAAAAATGTTCATAATAAGCGACGACTAACTGCAAAGAATCAACGTGATGACGCACGTTTGTAATATATCCCGTGTTCCACGAGTGTTTGGTCTATCTACCCAGCCGTTCACAAAATGTGGACTTGAGGTTGAGGTATTCTGGCTCCCCGATTTCACCGTTGATATAACATCATCTATTTGGTCGCATTTACTGAATGGTGGCATGTCGTCGTGCCAGTCACCTTTTGTGGACGGCCCAACCGGTGGGGTTTCCAAGCATGAAGACCGAGGATGACGCTCTCTCCAGTTCGCAGAGAGTCGAGGTGATCTGATCGGTTCAGGGAGGTAAAATAGTCTTACGGCCTGAACTGATAGATATGTCGTCGACTATTATGGAGAAGGGGAGAAGGAGAGAAGGATTGCTGCAAGCAAAAGAGAGCGTTCTCGGCAGAAGTCATCCAAGAGTTACTGGATAGATAGGACCCAAAGTTGGGTGCTGGGACGGCTCAGGCCTCTAGGAGAGACTCAATCGGTCCCAGATCGCGCCTCTCTGTCGATCTAAAGAATTCATCGCACTCTAAATTGAAAGCACTTAACTATTGCGTAGTAAAGGCAATGCGAGGATGGTTAAGCACGTTGTGATGGTCCGAAGATGAAGGGTACTCAGGCGCCTAGGAACACGACAAATGGCTGGCCAAGTGAACTCAGTTAGCTCGCCAAAGTACTAGGTAGGTGGGAACTTGGTCACATCCTACGAGTACATGTCGTCAATATGAAACTCGTATCCATTGTCCTGCGCCGAGCTCCTTTGACGTTGGTTGGAGATGTGGATAGTCTCTTGCCTGCAATGATGTGAGCTGAAGAAGCGGCCGAAGAGATTGTTTTAGTTGGAGTGCGACGGCCCCAACTTCCAAACAAGATGTTTTGTAGGCCGTCTAGTAGGCGCTCGATCGGATGTCAGCTGGCTTGAATGATAGGCCATCAAAACCGCTCGGGCCCCGCTCCCTTAGCTATTTTAGTGTCTGCTTACTAAAAAGTTCGCCTGAGCCTCACTTGGTGGAACTCGCAGATGTCATCTAACACAAGCCTGGTTCCTCCCCGTGCACTTGGGATGGGGTCCAAGGGTCAGGCTGACCAGTTAGAGGGCGACGACTAACCGGATACCCCTATTTGGAATCGTTGTTGCTTAACTCCGTACATATAATCCAAGGATCCCTCCTCCCTAGCACCACCATGCCTACACGCAAATTTACTCACGACACGCCGTCATTCAGAAAACAAAATTCAATCTTGCTAACAATCGATTCACCTCTATTCATCGACCTCAGGTCACTTAGTCGCCTTGAAACCGCCTATAAGTGTATCAACGACTCTATTGATACCGGCCTCGACCGGATATGTAGCAGAGCATTTGCTATCTATCACCTTTCGAATTTCTCACTGCTGTGACCGTCAATCGCATAGATGGTGTATATGGAGCAAAGTCTAAGACCTCCATTTCCTCCACCAGGCGTACCTGCTCAAGAATATAAAAAAGATTTAAGCACAAATGAGTCTGTGCTACCGCCTAATGGTGCGATCAAACAGCAGCCACAACAAATTGTCGCTGCTGTGAGTTCAGAAGTACTGGAATCCCTACCGACTATCACACGGACAAAGGACCAACAAGTCGTTCTGGTCGCGGAAGAGGTAGAAGAATTCTTGAGGAATGACCTAAATGTTTCGCGGCTCAACAGCATTCACGCGTACCTATGGATGGCAGGTCGGCCTCTAAACGCAAGGCCGCTGCAGCGACAGAAGATGATGGGCAAGGATATTATCCCGACAGAGCAGTTGGATCTTCACCTTTTGCATTTCTCGAATCGGCTGCTTGTCAAACCGCTGCCGGAGTACCTTCTTAACTTTAGCTTCTGGGAGAGATATCTTTGTGAATCCAAGGAGCTGCACGAGACCGCCTGTGGACTCTTGTTGTCATACGTTTGGCTGATCTGCTCTCCACTGGACATGAAATTGGCGCACGAGCTTGGTCTGGTACCTATCGACAGAAAATGGGCTTGGTGGAAGACCTTTGTGGCAGATTTTGTCTCAATTATCGACGTCAATGCCCTGGACCAGGTCAACCGGCGCTTCCAATTTGGCGAACTGCGCTTGGGAAGAATCAACTCCATATACAGGATCCGACTCTTCTTCACACACTCCATCCGCGGCTATCTATATGGCTACAACCGTTACACGGTCTTTTTCGAGAGGAAATTCGCCTGGCTACTCGGAGTTTTTGTCTATTTTTCCCTCGTGCTATCAGCTATGCAAGTTGGATCAATTGTTCCTCCGTTGAACGATAATCAGGTTTTTCAGAGAGCTACATATGGCTTTGTTATCTTTTCCATCATGATGGTTGTGTTTTTTCTGGGTTTCATTGGAATTGTTTTCATTTGGACATTCTTATTCAACATGGTGGCCGCTGTATGGCATAGCAGACAGAAGAGGTTAGAAAGAGAACAGCTTAGGAGAAGGAGAGTGGAAAAAGGACAATAACGAAGCATTTCTGGGTGTAATCAGAAGTTGTTTCCTCGCGTTAGATGTTAGATTCATCATCTGTGTTTGTGTTCAGGGTTTGGGAGCTTCCCGGAAAGTGACTACGACTGGTGCTGGATGGCCGTTGTCCTGTAATAGTAGAGCGAGCACAACGGGCATTGAATTAAGCAGCGATGGAAAAACAGTTTAATGCCCTGTGTATGAGTCTGATTGAGCGGGACAAAATGCCTCGAGATAGCTCCTTGTTAAAATGGGTTGAGGATTTTCGAGAAGGAGTGCCGTAATTGCCTCTGCCGCTCGTAGTGAAGCTCATCCAGGCCACTGTTTCGGGCTCCATGTTGTCAGGACAGCTAAATGCAAGTGCCTGTTCACCCTTAATACAGTACACCAAATAGCTTCAATAGCTTCTCGCTGCGGGTACCAATGTCGGCTGCCTTGTTCAAGCTAGAGGCTGATACAATTGGGATGTACGGAAATGAAAGGTAAGTTTCCAAGGCGACGATAAATTATTGCCCAGCGACGCGGGACATCTCGATGCCTAAACGCCTGACCAATGGGATCGTGCCATGGCATCACGGAAAGGTCACGTGGTGTCTCTTCCGCCGCTGCAGCAGGTTAAGTTCCAAATCCGTCTCTGAACTTCTTTCTCTTCTTCACGCTTCTCAGAGTTGCCGCCCGCACCGTAACCTTTCGCTTTCCAGGCGATTTGGACGTCGAGTCTTTTCGAGGATCTTCTTTGACTTACGAGTGTCTCATATCGAGATTCTCCGTTGTCGAAGAAGTCATTGAAAGACTTCCGGGACTCATACATGCAGATACTCGCGTGATTGAGCAGCGTCAACGACAACCCAACCCCCACACGCTCTCTACTTTTTCCTTAGGGGCCTCTTCAGTCGCTCACTATCTTCCCACCTACCATTCGACCCTTGGACGATTCTGACCAAAGATCGCCCATCCGGCTGGGCAGCATGTTCAAACGATCTTTCGCTTCTAAGGATCGCGCAGGCAAGTCTGTCAAGCCGCTCAAGATTACGTATCGCGAGGGTACGAAGAAGAAGATGCAGGAAAGCTTGGACAGTCCCATGGTGGCAAGGTTAGTAGGGATGCGCCTCGATGAAGCGACGCAGCTAACTTACCCTCAGCCCTCTCACCAGTCCCATAATCACCATGGTTGTGGGTCGTGATCAGCGTCTTTTTGCCGCCCACGAGGATGTCCTCTGCCGCGCACCGTTCTTTGCTGCCTCTCTGAAGGACCAGTTCTTTGAGGCCGGCGCAAAGAAGGTGAAACTGCCCGATGAGTATGTCAAGACCCTGCCCAAACTTCTCAGATTGTCGACTCACCCCATCCAGAGAACCCGAAATACTTTCCTGCATCCTCGAATTCCTCTACAAGGGTGACTACTATCCTCGCTTGTTGCAGAATAAGCGCCGTGACACTTGGGAGCTCGAGGATGCTCACGACCCAAAAAAAGGTGGTCGCGGTTCCAGCGACTCTACAATCTACCTTCCTGACGTGGGCGGCCATGTTCTCCGGGACACCGTCATCTACTGTGCTGCTGAGAAGTACGGCTTGGAAGAGCTGAAGCGTCTCGCTCTTCGGAAGCAAGGACTTCAGTCTGGCGTCCAAGTCGACGCGATCTTGCGATCCGCTCGGTATGCATATGACAACACACCAGACACGGAATCGCGGCTCCGCGCTCATTACCTAGCTCTGATCATCAGAAGTCGCAAGACTTTCAAGAGGAGCGGAACCATGCAGATGGAGATGGAGAATGGTGGCAAATTGTTCTTCGATCTGTTTGTGGCCATGTGCAACCATATCGACGACATTGTCGAGATCAGGTAGGCCTACATTCGCATTGTCAAACTGTGACAGCCCTGTTGTTCAAAGGCTCACCATGATGCAGCAACAGCAGATCTCCCAAAATCATCTAAAGGTTGCGCCTAGCTCACACCAGATTGACCGCTTGGAGCTATTGTCAGATCAACGGAAGATCTACCAGAATGTGTTGGGAGACTACGATATGCTTTTGGAGACCGTCGTAACTTGCTTTGACAGCAAGCCACACATACTCCACTTCTTTCGAGGTTGGCCGACAATTATTCTGGATCAAATGACCCTCTACTCTTTTAATCGCCCCTCGAGACCCCGACGCACTTTGCCTATCCACTCTGCTGGAGTTTGAATCCTCTGGAAGGAAAGGAATGATTGGAACACATAAGTCTGCGACTTCCTTCGCAATGATTTCTGTTTTCGCTTTCTAGTTTCTTGACTTACTGTCAACCATCTGTCATTTACGGCGATGCTACTTTGCGTTGACTTGATTCTGCTTGTTCAGTCAAGCAAAACCTCGTGATGATCAGACTAGCTAATGGAGAGATTCGGCCACCTCATCACTGTTCATTCACTGTGACCTCTTGTGCACACTAATTGAGAGCATTGTGCTGGCTCAAAGCTAGCATTCTACTTTCGTCCCTTGTTTGCAGTACAGCACTTTCTTACCGTCGCGAACTCGTGTCAATCACACCGTCGCTCTGAAGGCAGGTAGGTGTTCCCCTATTCGTAGTACGTTCCTTGTTACTTGATCACTCTTGCATCTCACTTCGCGACGCATCTCTCTGACATATCCCAACTTTGCCGCCGCTTACTGCCATGCCAGAAGTCTGTTGGATCGTCTTTACAAACGTCAAGTTATTTTGTCCTTCTGATCCCATCCCTGTTCCTGATTCCCAAACCCTCCCCTCGGTTAGTGACAGCCATCTGATCTTCAACCCCGTCTTCAATGACCGTCCTATCTTGACGTCACTTTCCGTCCTAGTTTGTATCCTCCTTTCAATCAACGTCTTCCAATGGATTATCCTCCTTGTGGTCCCCCACAACACCTTTCAACTGAACCGTGTGGTCACTTGGGGGCGTATCTCTAGCATTTTACTCACCTAAATCACTCTTTTTCCTCTTCTCTCACTTCCCCAAACCATACTTCCGCTAGCTCTTCAGCTCTCCCAACTCTACCATCGAGGCCCTTTCTATCGACTCATACTTTCTACCTCACACACCACGGGGTTAACGTGTTTCACCTAGTTTCAATCTCTTGGACCGGGATTAATACGAAATCTGTGAATTCCGATCAAGGTATCTCTGATACAGGTGCACCTCTCCGGTATGACGTTCGGTCTCAATGGACTTCTCAAGTGTTCTGATCCACTTCTTGCAGACTTAATTTCCCACCAGATCATCAGTCATCTATACACTCAGGACATCTCATATACTCTCTACAAGGATCGACATCATGTCTTCTCGACTCCGTAACTTCCAGGTAGCCGAACCGATCGAGCCCGGCCAATGCGTCTTGATCCGGCAGAGCCCTTCTCGATCCCCCATCGGACCAAATCTCCCCAACTATTCACTTGCTGTTGTCTGCACGGAATCAATGATTCCCACAAAGACGGCACGTTTGAAATCAGCCGTCGGTGTGACAACCCAGCATGGGCCCTTCCCTGTGTGGTTGATCGGCAAAAGCGAGTTGTAAGCTTCCAGCACGGTCTTAACGACTACTTAATTGCTGATCTTATTCAGTTTCTGGCTCACGCGTGCTCGAATGTTTCACTTCGAAGAAGCGCACAAGGAGGAATGGAAGAGAGCTGATCCGAACTCCGACTTCACTAGTTACTTCACGTTGGCTAAAGAAAACAGTGGGAATCTAGAATTCTGGACGAACGTCATCTTGGAGCACAAGAAAATGGTTGATGCTCGCGAGGGCAATCTGAGCGCACAAACAGGTCAGAAGCATCTACGGGAAAGCAGCAGCAGCAGCAACGACCTCTCTGGCAGAGAGCGCACCACGGAAGATTCTGACGACAGTCATCTGGAGGACTCAGACTATGAAGGGCCAATCCGCAAGAAATCGCGGTCCAAAACCACGAAGGCACCGGTTTCAGACGGAGAAGCTACTACGTCAGCACAACTCACAGCGTCTACCCCTCCACCATGCATGGTTGGTCCACCCCCCAGACTCCAGACGCCAGCTCCTCCCCCGTACATCACACCGGCGGCATCATCACAAGACGGGGGTATCATCAAGCCCGAGCCCTCAGACGAGGACGACGCCATCCCAATCAAAGATCTCGTCCAAGTATTCGTCGGCCAGACCAACGACGCGCCATTCGAATGCTCGCGAGCCAGTCTCGCCCAATCCGCCATCCTCACCGAGCGTATTACAACGCGGGCCGGCGAGCGACTATGTTCCTTTATCATGGACCCAACATTCTCCGACATCGCGCCCTCTGACTTCAAAGCGGTGGTGCAATTCCTTAACGCCTACGAATATGAGCCTCTGCTCCTCACCTCCTCCGCAGACGGGAAACCCATCCTCGACGAGTCCGCCGCCCCAATCAACTACCCAGCCGACCTCCTCCGCTCGGCGAACCTCTTCAACCTCGCCAAGCGCCTCCAGCTCCCGGCCTTCGGCCACCTCGTCTTCCGCAAGATCCTGCACGGCCACCGCAGCTACGACACACAGCCCTTCCTCGCCTTTGCCACGCGCATCCTCACGTACGCGGGATGCGATTTCGCAGACGGAGATCCCATCAAGGGCGTGCTGGAGGAGTGGGTCGTCAAGTTCCTGGCCGAGCATATGCATACCATGTGTTCGCGGATCGTGCGCGACGCGAGGGCGTTTTGGGAGCTGATGCGCGTCAAGGGCGTGGAGGCGAGGGTTATGGAGATGCGGCTGAAGCTGTGTAGGGAGTTTCCTGGCGGGAGGATCAAGATTGAGGATTGAGGGTTAGGGATTGCTCTGGTGGCAATGCAGAAGGAAATTTGAGTGCTTTGACTCTTGTGCATAGGAAGGTAGCACATAGCACGGCTACTATTTTGCTGAAGGGCTATCTTTCAACTGATTTTGGTGGAACGAGGACCAAGGACAGACCTTAAGAGGGGATTTCTTGACTGGCTGAAAGGCACCAGCTTTGGTTGATGAGGGCTATTTCTCTATATTGAACTTTTCAGTCGCAACGGGCACAGGCATCTTTGGGCGTTTTCTCTTGTCTCTTGCTTGCGAAGACTGATTCGCTTTTGCTGTCTCCTTCAGGTCCATGGCCTTTTTGCTCCACAGTCTAGTCTCCAGCATTGATCTCAATTAGAAAGCCAAGAATTGGAGGGAAACTTTCCTAGCTATGTGATCTTCTTTCTTCTTCAGGGGGTTACCGACGTTACATGAAAGACGCCGACATCAACGTTCTGAATGTCGCAGAGTAGACGCCTGCTGCTCTTGATTTTGGGCCATCAATACCTCTAACCTTCTCTTACGGAAGATCCTCAACGCTCGAAGTCTTGACAACGTCGTGGCTCAATTTGCTGTCTGCAGCACGCTGACGACGAGCTAACTCCGTGCGGGTGCCGCTGCTTGCAAGCCTGATTCCAACGAGATCGTTAGGCTGCAGGGCTGACTGCACGGCATGCTCTTCATGCTTGTTACTGAAAGTCCCCATCGAGTCCGAAACTCTGTCCGATACCTTCGCGTCGGCATTCCTCTTCATCCACCGCCTCACCTCCTCGTCTGACGGCAGGGTATTGAAATCTAGGAGCTCCTCGGTCAAGGGATCTTTGATCTGTGCGAATGTCTGCCATGCATTGCCGATACTCGAGATCTTGGTGCCGGTAAGGAATTGGAATAGAATGGTTGCGAGGAGGATGAGATGCGTTGAAGCAACCGCCATCACGAAGCTGTAGCCTCGGTATGTTTGCGGCGTGAGCACAGGTTCGAAGAAAGTCTGTTCGACTTCGCTCTGCCCGTTGAATTGTGGTAGCTGGTCATAATACGTCGATGCCGCTAGGACTGTGAGGAGGGAGGAGAGGGCATGAGCTATGTCACCACCGTGTTGCAGAATTTCTTGCAGAAGAGCAGGGAAGGACGGGTCTGGATGTATACTGGAGAAATTGTGTCCAGACACCGGGGAGTCGTCTACAGACACGCCACTGTTCTTTGTACCCAAGTAAGCTGTGTAATTCACCTGTGGAGGCCAAAGATTCATGGGATCATAGTCGGCAACGCTGGGGTACTCAAACCTAGCGGCATTGTTCACCCATGAGATATAAGGGGATGACAATCCAACTGATCTCCACGGACGGACATAGTCTTCTGGATGTGTTCCTGGACTCCAACTGGGGCGAGGCTCTAGCTGCAATATACCCCGGGCTGAAAACATGCCATGCGTCCATGACCCATCTTTTCTCTGTCCGAGTTGGTTTCGGACCGCATCGTATCGATATTTTGATATGTTAGTATCAAACTCCGCAAGAGGCTCTGTACGATTCATGCCTGAATATGCACGTATAAATAAGTCTGCGGTGTCTGATGCCGCATAGCAGAGACTAGCACTTATCCGCATTGTCCCATCGTCAGTGAATAAAAGATCGATCCATTCACCGTTTATCTCGTTACTGACTGGTGAATATTCATATAGATCGGAGCCAAATACTAGATCCCACCATTTGCCACGAACACTAGTGGTCGCATTGAGGACTAAATAGGTTAAGCCCGATGCGACACCGTAATAGATTTCCATTTGGCTCGGAAGGTCAGAGGCAATCGGCATGACTTGGCACAGGGTAATTCCCCGACCATTATCAGGCGTTTTGATTAAGGGGGGATCCACGAGACAGCCATATTCTCTTTTTCTGATACCACTCTGGTCGCGTAGGACACCGTTGGCCGAACTTGAGGCCGAGATCGAGCTGACTAAGGCCAAACTAATAGGTGAATCACCATTACTATTAATTTGCAACTTTGGATTTTCGAGCTCAGGACGAACACAAATCACGCGGCTGTCGAGCACAGTTGCCACGCCCTTATAATCACCGATTTCTTGTCGGGACTGTTGCTCTCCTAGTGGTAGAAATGCTCGGAGTATCGGTCCGGTATCGACTACAGCCGGGTCCTGCTTTGTTTCAGGATTCGAGTATTCAGCAAACGCAGGGTAGAAGGCAGGCAATCTTAACCACGACGATCCCCTGGTTATTTGATTCAGTGGTCTATATTCATCTGTAGTGTTGTAGATGAAGTGACTAGACAAAGTGGTCGAAGTCGGGAGCCCTAACACGGGAGTGAGGGACAAATCTGAAAGAAGAATCGTTGATGTGAATTGAGAAAGGAAGGTTGTGACAAAGAGTAAGATCAAGATCGAGGGCAGAAAAATCTGCTTCCATGGCTTCTCCATCTTCAACAAAGCTTTAGAAGTACACCAAGCCAGATAAAGAGGCCCATTATTGATATTGCGCATAGCCGAGGTGGAAGCTAAATGCATACTTAGTACTGACTTCCTCTCCAGGGCCAGGCCGGCGAGCATAGAAGTTGAGATCATGGCTTGCATTGATATAGTAGTTCTAAGAGCCAGAGCGGTAAGAGAGACACATCGGGTCATCCAATTTCTAGACGCAACTACTTGCCAGGTCCTGTTATTGACATCGCTTAACCACAAAAAGCTCACAAACAATAGGCTGGCAAGTATCACCAGAGTTCCTATCACCAGTGTTACCATAGAAAGTAGTCCCAGCTTTTTGTTGATTTGCTTGGACTTGTATGCCCATGAAATATGCTGGGGTGCTTGAAGAGCTTCTTCCAAGTCATCATTTTGCGGTTTCTTGAGCAACGGTTCACTGTATTCTGCACGCCTGTGAGTTTTGAGGACTGATTCATCTTCCGCCGCAGAGGATTGAACGGTGTTGATTTCATGCATGCTTGGGTTGAATGTTTCCTGAGGCAGTTGACTTGTTGGGTTTGAGAACATTTTTCGAGGTGTGCGTTCCATTATTGCGGAAGTATACCCTTTCTGGGTACGAAACGTTGCTTCTCAAAGCTCTTGAAGAAAGCAAGACGGTGGCTGCTGATTAAACTGCAACTTTGATACTGTAGAGCTGATAATACTTCCTGTGGACGTCTTCGACGGCACATGGCACTTGAGCAGGTAACGCCACATGCGTTTCTGTTTCATTTTTGAAATGCGCCCTCTGTTGGGGTTCCGTAGCACAATCCGCTGTTGCGGAGCCTGATCATGACAGCAGCTCGTATGTTCACCCTCTCTCATGGCCAGCAACAGACGGCTGAGTGTTTCGTATTCTCACTAATGGCAAGGAGCCAAATGATACATCAGCAAGGCGGAAGAATGCACAGCCTGCTGTGACAGGTGGGGAATGGTGAAATAGCGCATCTCACTGCATTGATGTACACGCAAGATGCGGTAGAATCACCCGTGCACAGGGTGTCCATTCAAATCAAATTAGTCAAATCAAACAAATCAATTCCTTGGCAAATCATTCAAATCTGTGCCTGAGTCAAATCAATTCAACCTCTGTCGATTTGTCAAATTAGTCAATTTGTATGTGTAGAAGACAATTGGGCCAATTCTGAGCCGAATTGACCAGTAATTGATAGAGAAATTGATGTAAACGATATAGCTATCTCTATGCTTAATGCTGATGTTGAGCTAATTGCTTATTTAAGTAATATATATATATAAAAATAAAAATTTAATTGTTCTTTGTAAATTATAATTCCTATATCAAAGACTGAAGATAAACTTTAATCACAAATTATTATTTAATAAAGCATTTTTACATATTTAGACTTAGCCAGTTATATTTAGCATCTTTTATTTTATCTTTAACATTATAACTAGATCTATAAGATCGTTATTAAGTTTATTTTTAGAAGTTTTGTCTAACTTAGAGTTCTTTTAATTAGAATTCTTTATCTTTGCAAAATAAAGACTTATTTTAACTTTAATAAACGTTTTTTTAACGCTTTAAGCTC